GGGAGGGGTGGAGCGGCTCTGGCGGGAAGGGGAAGCTCTTAGCTGGCGGGGAGGTATTAAAGGTTTGGAGGAAGCACGAGGTCTTGAGGCTGAGAGGAGTGGGACCTGTGCCAGGGGGGGCTTGTTGGTGTTATAAGGGAGATCGAGGTTAGATAACATTGCTTTTTGTCGCACTGGTCTCTTGATTAAGGTCTCCAGCTTGCAGGTCACCAAACTTCGGGTCTTCCTAGCAAGCTGCCAGCTCTTTATTTAGGTGGTGTTCAACAGCATGTGCGGGTTTGCCCCTTTTAGGCAGCCTGTGGGTAGTGCCAAAATGCACCGCACCTGTGTCTGTCCCCTCCCCTTCTCCTCCCATCTGTGTGGGGAAGGTTTCACACTCCAGGTCTCCTCTCCTCCTCTTCTAGATGGAGCCAGTAACAGAGTCCATATTCTCTCTTCTCCAGGAGCCTGGGGAAAGTGGTGTTGCAGGATATGCAGGTGAGATGTAAACTCTGCTAGTTAAATTACAGAGGGAAGCTTGAGGCCTCACCAAGTAGTGCTGGGGGCATTGCATCCCTTCTTAGCTGGCTGCTCTGTCCTGGGTTCACTAGGATGGTGTGGCATGCTAGGCTGGGGCAAGGTGGTCAGCGGTATCTTGTGTTTCTTTCTGCTGTGGGTTTCTAGCAGCTGTTTTAAAATGACACAGTACAGTTCATTTGGAGCGAAGGAAAGCCAGCACACATCTCTTTTGCAGGCTTTTTCATGGGTGAGGAAGGTCTGAGGTAGTTGCACAGCTGCATCTGAAATGTGTGACTCCCTAGGAGTAGCTCTGGATTGGAATGGAGGGTTGTTTGGTTTCTGTTTCACTGTTAGAGACCTGGGGTCTCTTTCATGGGCCTCTGGGAATAATCAGCTGCTTGGCTGTAGAGTGAGGGAATGACTGCTCCTGTGAGAGGGAGTTGTCTTCATCTCTCTGGGAGAAAGCTACCTCTTGGGTGCAATTCCTTGATGCAAGAGATGAGCCCCTCTCCCCCAGTACATGTGTTTTTATTTTATTGCTGGTATTTAGATCTTGGCAGTTGCGGCCATGTAATTCCCATGCAATTCCAATGTCATTCCCCCTGTACTTGGTGCTGGTGAGGCTGCACCTCGAATACTAGGTTCAGTTTTGGGCCCCTCAGTACAAGACAGACATTGAGGTGCTGGAGCATGGCCAGAGAAGGGCAACAAAGCCGGTGAAGGGTCTGGAGAACAAGTCCTATGAGGAGCAGCTGAGGGAACTGGGGTTGTTTAGCCTGAAGAAGCCGGGGGGGAGACCTTATCGCTCTCTACAACTACCTGAAAGGAGGTTGTAGCGAGGTGGGTGTTGGTCTCTTCTCCCAAGTAACAAGTGATAGGACAAGAGGTAATGGCCTCAAGTTGTGCCAAGGGAGGTTCAGTTTGGATGTTAGGAAAAATGTCTTCACACAAAGGGTTATCAAGCGCTGGAACAGGCTGCCCAGGGACATGGTTGAGTCACCATCCCTGGAGGTATTTAAGATGTGCAGACATGGGACTTAGGGACATGGTTTAGCGGTGTACTTGGCAGTGCTAGGTTAATGGTTGGACTTGATGATCTTAAAGGTCTTTTCCAATCTAAACAATTCTAATGATTCAAGGGCACATTACTTAAGAATTTTATTCCTTTGGTGTCATAGAGGTAGGACTAAAATTGCACGGCAGAGTTTTACCTTGAATGTAGAAAGCCTGGTTTTTTGTTAGTGGAATAATCAAACTTGATGTGTTAAATGGAATTATATGTAGTCTGAGTAACTGAATATCTTAATGCTAAATCAGAGATGCTAATGCCCAAGTCCTCTATTAGAATAATAGTAAACAAGATGCTTGCAATGATGAAGCTCAGGTAAGTGTGCATCAGGTGATACTTATAATTCTATTAATGCTGAACTGATGTAAAGACAAAATTTAGTCAGCAGAGTAAGATAACGAAAGCTTACTGTGGGGTGCACGATCATACATAGTCATTTGTGAAATACATAGGTTGCATTCTTTAGGAAAGAAAGGGTCATATTTGAATGTTTCCTGTGAGCTTCCTTGAAATACAATTTACGTGGCTTGTCACTACAAGAAGAATAGGTGTCATGCTAGATCTAGATATGAAAGAGATAGTAATAGTTAATTGGCAATTAATTAATTTTTTATTGATAAAAATCTAACTCCTTTGACTTCTGATGCATGAGTATACAGTATCCCTATAATAATTACAACTGTTCTTGTGATAATTAGGGAAAAAACCTGATGTGCTGACCTGTAAAAGAAGTAATTTAAAATTTTTCACTAAATACTAACTAGCACAAGTGAGAAACAACCTAAACCTCCCTGTTCATTTTGCCTACGAAGGTTAAAGGGACTTCTTTTGTGTTGAACTATCCCCACTGAAACACAAAGCTTTAAAACTGGTTTAATACTAATTTAGCAGGCTGGAAGGCTTTTGAGCAAAGTCTGCAGGAACAAATAGCTAAAAGTAGATATTTGTGATGGGTAAGACATTTCAGCATGTTCCTTTTCCTTCCTTCACTTTGGCAGTCTTCCTTTGCCACTCCCTGAGGGGAGGAAGAACAAGGAAATGGGGAGGGGAAGGAAGAGGTAGGGTTTTTTTACCTCTCTCTTCTTCCCTGTGCCACTTTTTCTTTGCCTTGTCTTCTTGTCTCAATCTTCATCATTTCCCTTCCTCTTTGGAAAAGGGGAATCTGGTGCAAGTTGATGCTAGGCCTGACAAATTCAGTTATTTTACAAGGAGCAGCTTACCTGTCTTAGAATCATAGAATCGTTTAGGTTGGAAAAGACCTTTAAGATCATCCAGTCCAACCATTAACCTACACTACCAAATCCACACTAAACCAGTCAAGGGTAGACTAGACTAAACCATGTCCCAAAGTGCCACATCTACCTGTTTTTTGAACACTTCCAGGGATGGTGACTCCACCACCTCTCTGGGCAGCCTGTTCCAATGCTTGACTACCCTTTCCATGAAGAAATTTTTCCTAATATCCAACCTAAACCTCCCCTGGCGCAGCTTGAGCCCATTTCCTCTTGTCCTATCGCTAGCTACATGGGAGCTAGCTACATTAGGGAAGGAGGGGTGTCAGATTGCTCTCTTACTCCATCAGGGGACTGCATTTTGAGTGACAACGAGGAAGTGAGAGGCATCCCCGAAGACCTTAAGCAAGATGTACTGCCTCAGCTACCTGAAGCCCGCAGCCCAGACTGGGGGGCTGCCAGTCTGCAAAGGCAGCAGAGAGCAGCCTATAAGAAACCCCATCACCAAAAAACAGGCTCCAGGAAACTTGCCCTCATCGCTGATGGCCAGAAACCGCACACAGAAGAGAAACCCTACAAGTGTACAGAATGCGGGAAGGGCTTTAAGGGGACCTCCAGGCTCCTGAACCACCTGCAAACCCATGAGAGAGAAAAAATGTTTGAGTGTGTAGAATGTGGGAAGAACTTTAGCAGGAAGGCCAACCTGGTGGTGCACCAGAGAATCCATACGGGGGAGAGGCCGTACAAGTGCAAGGAATGTGAGAAAACCTTTAGCCGTACCTCAAACCTTATTGCTCACCGCAAAACCCATGCGAAAAAGAAAGCCTTTTCCTGCACCACGTGCAGGAAGAGCTTCAGTGGAAGCACAGCTCTCTTCCAGCACCAGGGAGTCCACATGGACGAGAAGCCCTATAGGTGTACCGAGTGTGGAAATAGCTTCCGTCTGTGCTCGAACTTCATCAAACATCAACAGATTCATTTGAGAGAGAGACCCAGTGAACACACAGCAGGTAACTGAATTAAGATCTGTTGAGTTTTATTTCAAGCTGTACAGACTCACAGGGGATGTATCAGATGCTGTGGTGTCCGTTTGTTCCTAAACACTTCCCCCTCCTTGCTGTGGATATGAGTGGGGTCTGTTTGTTTGTTTGTTTTTTCTCTTCCTAAATAATATATTTATCTCTGTCATTCGATGAAATGCATTGAAAATGCCAGAGTTGGAATTTAGGCTTTGTCATGAAGGCTGCCTGGGACCTTAGACTCTGGAAAGCTCTCAGATCCCACTAATTCCTGCTTCATAGTGTTGCCTGATGTCTAGCCCTGGATCTTCAGAAGTGCTCAGCCAACAAAATACTAAGCTTAGGGAAGGGGAAGGGATTTAGACTGTGAATCAGGGCCTTGGCAACCTCTAGCAGCTAAATTTGGTTGTATGTGGCTATTAAATGAACAGCTTTTTGTTGTCTGCAGTGGGAAGTTTCTGCTCATCATCCCTCTGTAATACTCTTGGCATAGCATAAGCTGTCAGGCAAGGTAATTGTTTAAAGTAAGGAGTTTTCTGGATTTTGCAGTATTCCATGTTCTTGTAATGACCAGAAACTCTGGGATAAAAACTGACATTGTGGTGGTTGTACCTTTACATGGGCAGTCCCTTTACACTTGGTGAAAAATGTTTAAACTTTTAATCTTGAGTCTTGCCTAGCTACCTGTAGAATTGTTCTGGGTGTTGGGGCCTTAACCACCAGATCATGCAACAGCAGGGCGATTAAGACATGAGGCCATATGAGAAAAAGGTGTTTTGTGTGTGACATTTTTCTGGGTTTTGTTTTTTTATTTTGGTTTTCCTTCTGAAAAAAAAATCTGAGCCTTTCATCTTAACAATGGAAATAATAATGAAGTTATAATGAATAATAGTGAAGTTATAATGAATGGCAAAACTGAATTCCTAAGGTAGGGTTTGAGACCTCTCAGTCCATAGATGCAGAGGTGGCCTTGTAACTCCGCTAATGAGCCCTAAACACGGGCCTTTACACTCCTAATGCTTTTTTCTTTTTTTTTTCCTTTGAGTGCTTTTAATAGTTTTTCAAATGTAAGAATTCATAATTCACAAGAAAAAAAAAAAATACAGTCTCATTTTTACCCTGGCAGTTGGTAATTAATATCAGATCAACCTAATACTATACCTGCTTCAAAAGGAAGCGTGCAAACTGATTATGGAGTAACTATTAGCTACTGCATCATTGTAATTGAAGCTCCATAATAAAATTGCTTTTATGATCAAACATATGCCACATTGGCCTTGCATCTGATAAGATTTGAAATAAGAAGTTTACATATTTATAACTTAAGTACATTTTTTACTAAATCCCAGCTGTCCTATCCCTTAACAGCTCCCTTGCTCTAGCTTTGCTTCATCCCCAACCCCCTCCCCTGCCTTCCCTCCCT